GGCCATCATTAATTAACAAACAAGTGCTGGTGATGATGTGGAGAAAAGGAAGCCCTAGTGCACTGATGGTGGGAATAAAAAGTGGTGCAGCCACTGTGGAAAACAGCATGGGATTCCCTCAAAAAATTAAAAACAGAACTGCCATTTGACCCAGAGATTCCAGTGTTGAGATTATACCCTAAGGATCCTGAAACACCAATTCAAAAGAACTTGTGTATCCTTACATTTACAGCAGCATTATTTACAATAGCAAAGTGCTGGAAACAGCATAAGTGTCCATCAGTAAATGAATGGATATAAAAACTGCAGTACATTTACACAATGGAATATTATGCAACATAAAGAAAGAGCTCCTACCTTTCACAACAGCATGGATGGAACTGGAGAATATTATGCTAAGTGAAACAAACCAGGCGATGAAAGACAGATACCATATGATCTCACCTATAAGAGGAACCTAATGAACAAAACAAACAAAGAAACAAAATAGAACCAGAGGCATGGAAACAAGGAACAGACTGACAGTGACCAGGAGGGAGAAGGGAGGGGGATAAGGGTAGAAATAAGGGGAAGGGACTAGTTAAGGAACAAGTACGAATGACCTCTGGACACAGAGAACAGGGTGGGGATTGACTGTGGGAATAGGGGTGGGCTGGGCGGAGGAGGGCAAAGGAGGGAAATGGGGACAGCTATAATAGAAAACAATAAAATGTTAATTTAAAAAGACCACTTGACCTGAATAAAAGTAAGATCTTTAAAAAAAAAATTGAAACCTTCATGCTTTGGGTTGAGGAACAGAGTCAGGAGGGAGAGTTCCATGACCTGCTAAGTCTCTATTAAGGGGGCTCTACCTTCCTCTCCACCTTTGGGTTAAAATGAAGGGAAATCACAGTCCTGAGATGTGGGTGCCTGCAGATCTGGGAGGAGAGAGGCCCTGTATTTGGCTTTCCAGGTAGAATCCCTGGAAGTCAGAAAGATCCCTGGAAAGAAATGGCTGTGAGAGTTAGCTTCCCATGGTCTCACATATTGCAGGAGCAGCAGAACGATCCAGTGCTCCCTGGGTAATGTAGTGGAGGTCTTAACCCCAAAGATTTCCCTGCAGGCTAACATAACATGGATATAGCAGAATAAAGCTGCACGGAAGGTGCCAGACCTGACGTAGCCTCAACAATAAGAATGAATGATGGTCTAACAGCAAGCTACACAGATTTACAACATAGGACTAAATAGGATACTTGACATTTTAGCAAATGCAAAAATGGGGGCTTTAATTATGTGCAATTAAGAATTCCACTTCTTACACCCTTGAGTTTGTGGATTAGATGTATAACCCTTCTATTCATTACCACAAATGAGTGTTTTACTCTATTTATAATAGTGGGTGAAAATAATTCCTATTTTTGGAGCTACACTTCTCTGCTGTTAGGGGTTTATTATGCACACAAATCACCTGCAGATCCTTTGAAAATAAAGATCCTCATTCAATACATCTGCAGTGAAGCCTGAAAGTTTTTTTTTAATCTTCACCCAAGGACATACTTATTGATTTTAGAGAGATGTGGAAGGATGGGAGAGAGAGTGGGAGAGAAACATCAACGTGAGAAACATTGACTGGCTGCTTCTCATACGTGCCCCAACCAGGGACCAAACCCACAACCTATGCATGTGCCCTGATTGGGAATCAAACCCATGACCTTTAGGTTTATGTGGTGACACTCCAGCTCATTGAGCAACACTGGTGAGGGCCTGAAAGGCTTAATTTTTAACTAGCTTCAGGTGATGCTGATGCTGCAGGTACAGAAACCATTCTTGGAATAGTGACGCTGTTCAAAATGCTGGTATTTAACTACACTACATTGTTTTTCAATATACATTGACTAGCACTCTTAATTAAACATAGGATGGCTTTTGTGCCTAAACTGTGTCACGTACTTATGGTACAATTGCAGACTACAATTTAAAATGCAAAATGAATGAAGCAACAAAAAGAAAGTTCATTCAGAGTAAGTCAGCTAAGAGCAGGTAGTGTGGATAAAAAGAATGCTGAATAACTTCCTTCATGCGTTATCAATTACATGTTTCAACTTTTAAACAACTATTCTCTCTAAATGTTTAAATAAAGTTTGAATGTCACTGATTTGAACTTGCTCATTTAGAATTTTAAGTCACTTTTAACCATATAAAGAATTTAAAATAATATAAGACTATCTTCTAATCTTTAATATTAGTTACCATCTTAAATAGAAGTTTAAGTAGTAGAAAAGAATACACTTGCTAAAATACCTCATTTTACTCAAAAGGTGAAAAGAGTAAATGTTAGCAAATTAAGCAGTATTTCTCATTTTTCCAGATTACAAAAGTGATACTCGCTTATTTTAGAGAATTTGGAGAATACACAAAAATATAAAGAAAGTAATAAAATCACTAGAAATCCCAGCAGCCAGAGAGAATCACAATTTGGTACATTTTCTTCTAGTCATTGATTTGTATATTCATTTCTTTTCCTTAACAAAACCAAGAACATATGTACATTAGTTTGCCTACTGCTTTCTTCACTTAATATCTCATGAGCATTTCTCCACATCTTTAAATATTCTTTGAAAACACAATTTAATCGTGTAAAAATACATACTATTCTATGACACGTGCGTGCTATAATAGTTAACTTATTCCCCCATCTTTAGACGTTTAAACTGTTTCTCATTTTTTCTATTATGAATAATGATGAAAGCAATGAATTGGATATAATATTAAAACTAAAATCGGATTAATTTCTAGGAAACAAAATTACCGGAACGTTAGCAATAGTACCAGATAAAAGGATCTGAACATTTTAAAGTCTGAAATGGCTCTTAATACCTACTGCAAAATTGGTGTATCGATAGTTTGGATTAGGTATGTGAAAGTGCCTATTTCATCACATCTACAGCAGTCCTAGCTACTGGCATTTTTAAAATCTATAATCTTTGCTAATACAGATAGGGCTCAAATTGATGCATTTTCAGTACAAATCCTCTTAACCAATCTCCACTTCACTAATTATTGGATAAACATGATTCATCATTTCCTCAGTAAAAAACTGATGCCCTGGCAGGCTCAGTAACTATAGCTGAGCCTTTGTAGTAAAACACAGGAGCCCTGAGACACAGGGGCCTTGAGGTACAGGGGCTTTGAGGGCTGGGATACCTAAGTACAGCGAGCTGGCCACTGTCTCGGACACCGTGCACTTCTGCTTCCCCTGTGAGTTACATGCTTATCAAGTCACTTGCATCCATTACCACCATGTTCAAGCCGGTTATCCTCATTATTATGTAATTTTATGAAATAAAACGAGTTTATGTAAAAGGAAAGTCGAGCATTCCAAAGGACTGCAAATAGCTAAAATAAATTGCTGAATTAGTGGCAAACAAAAATGTGTATAATAAGGCAGGCATAAAATTATGGATTCTGAACTAAGATTCCTGCTCTAAAGAAACTAGAATTGGATCGCTTAGACCAGTGGTTCCCACAGGGCAGTACTGACCCCTAGAGGTTGTTTTGGAAACCTGTGGGGCATTTTCAGTTGGGTTTCAATACTGGTATTTGGTGGACAAGGGACAAGGATATGAGACTTCCTGTAAAAACCTGCACAATTTCGAAGGTCTTAATGAGCATTCATTTAGGGAAAAAAGCCACTTTTCCCCTCAAGGAGGGGCATTAACTCTGCACACCTTACATGTGGGCTTCACATACTGATTTCTTTCCAAAAAGTATGATACGGAAATGGGGTGGGTAGAGAGTTAACTGTACAGTGGAGAAACCTGACAATCACCCCTGTAGCCAGGTGATCAGGGTTAACATCATCAGTGATACGTCATGTCAACAGTATGTGTCTTTGATGTGATGAGAAGGGCACCTTACCTCTCTCGTCTTCCTCCTAAAAACCCATAACCCCAGTTTTATTATGGAAAAAAAAGTCAGAAACTCCCAAACGAGAAACACTCTGCAAAGTATCTGAAGTACTCCTCAAAACTGCCAGTTATCAAAAACAAGGAAAGTCTGAAAAACTACCATTCTAAAGGAGCGTAAGCAAACATGATGACCAAATGTAATGTAAGATCCTGTAACAGAAAAAGTAGGTTAAAACAAATAAAATCTGAATTAAGTATAGGCTTTAGGATCTGAACATTTAGGATCTGATCATGAATAATGTATCAATACAGGTTTATTAGTGGTGACAAATGCACCATATTAATCTAAGATTTTAAAAATAAGGGAAACTGGGTCTAGGATATATGGCAACACGTCTGTACTATTTCTGCAAAGTTTCTATAGATCTAAGACTATTCTACATTTTTTAAAGTAGTAAAATACAAATTTGCAACTAGCAGATAAGTCTTGGAGATCTAATGCACAACATAGTGACTGGTCAACAACACTGTATTATAAACCTCGAACTTGCTAAGAGACTAGCCATTAACTATTCCCACCACATAAACGAAATGACAAGTATGTGAAGTGATAGAGGTGTCATCAGTTTGCAATAGTTACAGAGGCGCTCTGAATAGGGGAGCTGTACCTGTGTTAATGATATTCTGAAAAGACCACCTGGAGGACCAGTAGATGTGGACATGCTGTGGACCCGTTTATTCCTCACAGGGGAGTGCGCTGATGGCCGATCACTGAGAGGCTGCACCCTGTCTCCAGCTTTGATGCCATTCATAGGGTTAGGGAGGTAGTAGCCTGTGAAAATTCTGCACCTCTGTGATAAACACAGGAGCTTCAGGCATAGGGGCTTTCAGAGGGCTGGGATACCTAAATATGGACTGTTTTCCTTGTTCCTTATGGCTGCTAGCCAGGCTGACGTTGTGGAGGGGCTGTGGAGTTACACCACAAATGTACGCGTATCAGATCAACACGTTGGACACCTTAAACTTACACAATGGTGTATATCAGGGTCTCAACTTCTGAGATGCAGACTACCAGTCCGTGGCCTGTTAGGAACCAGGTGCACAGCAGGTGAGTGGCAGGGAACGAGCCAATCTTCGCTGGCATTACCTCCTGTCTCCTCCTGACCCCCCGATTCCATGGAAAAATTGTCTTCCACAAAACTGGTCTCTGGTGTCACAAATGTTGGGGACCAATGTTGTATATCGAGTATTTCAATTTCTAAAAATCGTAAACCTTTTTTTTTATTATGTGAGCCTTTAACTTCCATTTTACTTATTTGTACATATAACATTAATATCTACCAGGGACAAAATTATCCTATACTCAGGAATATTATTTTATACAACACATCAGCAAGAATTGATCACCATTTTGAAAAATGATATTTCCAACAGTAACATTATTCAGTCTTTGACCAATAAAACACACCTGTTTTCAGTATACATTTGAAGTTGAAACACTGTAGCTCCTCATGAACTATGAACTCATCTTTATTTTAAAATATCAACTAGTGTTAACAGTATTCTATTGAAGTTTACCTCTTTCATATTTAAGAACAAGCACCTGACCAGTTTTCTAGTGTAGCAGTATCTAGCATTTACATACTGAAACACATTTCAGTAGAAATTGATCTTTCTCCTTTATATTACAACAAAGGCATTGGATTGACCCTTTTTAAAAATTGTGTATACAGAGAAGTTATATCTAATTTTATTTTAGGATAATGGGTGTGATAGATGTTATAAATTTTCCAGTGTTACAATAAAAAAGGGTCTGCTAACTCTGAGAACCAGTCTTAGACTAAGCTCTTTGAGAGCAGGAAGTGTTTTATGATTTCTTGCAGCACCCTGCACCAACTAGGTCCTCAATATTTAGTTTCACCCTGTTACAGTTGCTTTTCACGCCTACTCAGAAACCCTTATTTGCTCCTCCATTCTGGCAGTCTCAAGTTTGATCCAGCATCTACCCCCATGTGGGAAACTTGGGTAAATATAATCCATTTAAGTCAATCCCTTAAATATAATCCATTTAAGCCATTCACTGGCAACATTCCCTTTGCCAGTGATTAGAGACAGGCAAGTGGCCCAGTGCTGATCAAGACAGGAGGAATTCTGGCAGGAGGGAGGAGGGAGGAGGAGAAAGGGTATGAGGGGAATAAATGGTAATGGAAATACAATAAAAAAAATAAAAAGAATAAAAGAAAAAGACATGAATTCTGCTGTGAAACAAGGTTATTTTCTTTCATTGGACATTGTTGGTTTATTCGTGACACCTGGAATCATGATAGACATCTTTGATCATGAGCATTATTAGCCCAGAAAGAAACTGCTGAGTGACAGGCTGAGATGGAAGGAAGCGAGGTTCTGGGTATCTCTGAGCTCTCCATTGACCCATTCTAGAGCCTCTGAAGTGCTTGTTACATTTGAGAAAGTTGGGTCCTATTGTCAGCAGCAAGCATCCTGATATAATCCTCTTCACAAGCAGCTGTGTCACTAAAAAATATGTACGCACACTGCACGCAATCCTGGTCAGAATGCCATGGAGGAAAGTAGTAAGTGACTCTCAACCATCAGTTCCTAATTCAAACCACCTGTAGTAGAAATGAGTACCAGGCTTACCTGTATAGGGCTCAGGGGAGACCAATTTATTTTACATTGACAGTAAGCTACACAGTCTGGCTGTCTCATCGTGGAAAACAAGAAAACTTCTTGGGGTCAGCTTCAACCTTTCATATCACTACTTCTCAGGTAAGTTAATTTGGAAGTAAGCTAATTGTCTAATTCTTAGCAAAGCCTGGTGATACAAATAGCTACTTTTTCAAGGCATATAAGGATGAATTTAAAGAATAAGCAAGGGCTATCTTTTGGTAAGTTTTACTTAGCAAGGGGAGAAGGCTTCTTCTGTGAAAATAAGGTTGAAATGACTCAATTTATGTATCTAATAACCCTCTCATTTGATAATTCTATACACACGTGAAACTGGTCTTCATTGGTTTCCACAACTCACCTTGTGACACTCAGCTGTTCTCTGTATTTTTTCATCCCTCCACCTCTATTTCTTATTTATTTTCCTCTCCCACCTATCCCACACCTTGTTCTCCGTAGAAACTATCTGCTTTGCAAGGTATACAGAATTACATCTATTCTCGGTTCAGAATGAGCCGGCGAGCCCCTCAAATCCTTGCAGCACTTCCTGAGGGCAGCCTTTTTCTTCTTTTAAGAAAGAACAGGCAGAAGTTCACAAGTTAAACATAGTCTTATTTAAATATTTTATTTTGATCTATAAGTACTGCTATTTGTTTGAGTTGCTCACATAAATCCATTCCATCCAAAAAGAAAATGTGAAGTGCTTCTAGCAGTGTAAGTACAGTGAGCATGGCCTACCCAAAGATCTCCACTGGAGTCTACAGGAAATCTAAATGTAGTTAAACCACAACTGGGTGTTATTCTCTGGGCCTTAAGAGATTTTAAAAAATCAGTTTAGTTTTTAGAAATCCACCAAATGTCAATCATAGCAGGGAAGACTACTAAGCTGATTTCTGATAATTAAGTTATGTTATCACTGATCATAATTTATCCTAAATGATCACTGGCATCTGGACGACCTTGGGGTAGGGGATCTTCATAAGTAAAACAAGCACCATTCACACAAGAACAATCGATATCCATAGAGCAGTTGTGTGCTAGTCTTCTTCCCTTACCATGGTACCCAGATCCGAGCTGAGAAGATAACATTAACTTACTGAAGGTTTTCACAACAGGAGACTACTGGAGGACGTGTCGTGAGGTACTAATTTATGAGGTATGATCTAAATACTAAAAATTATGATGAAATCTTGAGTACTTGAGCCTATTTGTATTGTCTTAATTCATTAAAGTTATTTCACATGTCTAGCCTGTTTTCTTTCTCACAGGAGAGTTGGGAAGATTAAGTGAGATAAAGTACATGACAAACATATCCAGGAAATAATATTCCCATCCTCCGCCCCATCCCAAAATAAAGAGTTTAGTCCTTGAACTTTGAAGGTACTTTATAAAAAAGAAGTTAGTTTTTCTGCCAGCATCCTTGTCAGCATGATTCTGAACTGCTCCCAAGAGTGCCTTCTCTTTGGTAAACACTTTATACTATTTGAAGTACACGTAACGTTTCATTTTTGTTCAATGCTCTTTACTTTCCATTGTGAAAAGTTATTTCCGAGGACCTGAAATTTCAGAAGGTAGCCACAGTAAGAACATGTTAAGTGTTTTTTTACAATGATGATTTAAAGGCAAGCTTGTAGAGAAGACATAGTTAGAAGAGAGAAGGCAAATCAAATGCAGCCTCTGAAGGGAACTGTTCTAATTATTATCGAAAAAAGTAATGTTATACAACTACATTCAAGGACACAAGACAAAGTACTACTTTTAAAACTAGAATGACTGAATAGACAGGTTAAAAACACAGCTGAAATAGGAAGGGAAATGGACTTAAGAATAATTTGAATTGGGAGAGTGAATCATCAATCCTAGATGCTTCTGTTATCTGAATATCTCAATCACATTGTTTCACTTTTTTACCTCCCACAGTGTTCTCACAGAAATCTCAAAGCATTATTCTCATAGAACTAAATAATAGTTATCATTCTGTTAGGATTCAAAATTTCTATCCAGTAGCCATCAGGATCTTGAATAAATGCCAGGCCTTTCATTTTACCTGTAAAATAAATGATTTTCATGATTAAAAAGACTTTTAAAAAAAACTTAAAATTTTAAAATATACTTTTTAGTACTTCAAATTATAATTTCCATTTCAATAAAGTATATTGTTTTATATTTTTAATTTAAAAAGATTCTGTTGTCAGTGTTGCCCAAATGTATGTTTTTCAGAATGACTAAATGTCTTCTACACATAGCTGGAAACCAACTCTAATGAAATAAACTCTGGGACTGGCTACACCTTCTAGTTATCACCTTCACAATATCACTTCATGCTACCCGTTGAGTAGTTACAGAAACTGTCTTATTTTAAAAAGGAAGAAGAAAATAAGGATGCGCTCAATGAAGCAGGCAGCATGGCTTACCCACAGCCAAAAGACCCAGATGCTTGAGTCATAAAGCCCTGTCAAGACTACTCTGTGTAACCCAAGGTCTGCCAATCAGATTCTTTCTCACGGGAATTCATGACTGGGATTGAAAAGCTAGTAGGTTCGGCAGTAGAGCTGTTTGCTGAAATGGAAAAATGTGACTTCAGAAATTCATCATGGGACCAAGATGCTGAATTAGTTGACTCCTATTTCTGGTTCCCTTCTCCAACATCAACTCCAGAGGAACACAGTTGGCCACTGGAGGCGGGGTGGGGGGAAGAACCCCTTGGATGATGTTTGGGGAGAGGAATTGTGGTGATGGGGTGGGGTGACTGTTTTAACCAGGACTATGTGGAAGGGGTACTTTAGGCCTGGACCAGAAGGCGGTCTATCATGGCTGTGGTAGAATAGAGAGGGAGTTTGTTAGTTTGGTTCTTGTTCTTCCTCATACCGTGGGCATCAGCACCCACCCCCACACTGTGCTACTGGGGAGTGGATTTGTGCCACTGGTTGAGATGTCCTCAGGTATAAATAAGGTCATCTTATTACTTATTACTTACTAATACTTTGTCCCTGGATGACAAAGCAGGAAGATCTAACTTAAAGACTTGTTATGCGGAATATGAAGTGTTTAATTCTCATTTTCAGATGGCTACAGATCTCTGCCCAGCCCATCTTCCTGAGATTAATGGATTGTTAAAGGCTGAATCTGGTCTTCCCCTCATTTTCATTGCCTGATGGACTACAACAGCTAATAGTTACAGTAAAAAAATGCCCTCAGAGAACAAAATAGCAAGAATTTGAAGAACATAATCATAAAACAAACAATGGATTATAGATTCAAACAGAAGAATAAATATTAGACTGATGGACCAAGAACTATTAAAACATATACAAGTGATGAGGAATGTGAAATATAACCAATATGAAACAAGAAAAAGAAAAGTGAAAGGAACCGAGCAAAACTTAGGAATCAAAATTATAATAGCTGAAAAAACACAGTAAATGAGAACACAAAAGATGACTATTAGAATGGGTACATTTGAGGAAAAGTTAGTTAACTGGTATGCCAGTGTGAGTAAATCTAGAAAGAAGGCAAGGACAAGTAAGTAAATTTAAAAGCTTCCAGAACAAAACAGAAGACAACATACAAAAGAACACAAATCAGAGAGCAGATTTTTCAACAGCAGCATTGGATAAAAAACTAAGACAATAGAGTTCTATTTCCAAGACTGAAGAAAAATAAACCTAAAATTTATATTCAACCAAACTGCCATTCATGTATAAAGGCAAAGACATGGTTCCCAGGCATACAAAGCCTCAAAAGTTTGTCTCACAAACTCTTTGAAAAGTTTGGGTTGAGATACTTAATAAAGGGACAGAAAAGTAAAAAATGCTGTAAAATGTGTGTGGAGAAAAGGTGATCAAATACCTTGATATACAGCATAGGCAAAAGTAGGTTTACAGTTGTATGTGAAACAATTTATTCTTGTATCATTCATCATTGCATTTTTTCATTTGTAGTACAACTGTAAACCTACTTTTGCCCACCCTTGTATTTATTATCTTTTAAAAAAATCAATAATAGTCCAGTATGGGCAATAGGAACATGATAGGAATAGAAGACAGCAAGTTCCTTTCCTACCTGGGAGAACATCTGGATATCAAATCTTTTAATTGAAAAAAGAAAAGAAAGGATTCAAATGAAAGAGTGAAATGTTTCAAATGAAAACAGAAATAATAAATTATGATGGCAGAAATAGATTTAAGTAAAATAAATTATATGTAAATCCAAAAAATCCAGATATATACTATTTTAAAAGACATATAAAACATGAGGACATGCAAAGGTTGTAAAAGATGAACAAAAAATACTAGGCAATTATTAACTGAAGAGATTTGGTGTAGTTATAGTAATATCAGATAAAATAGACTTTAAGGAACTTATGAGGGGCTGGGGCTAGATAACACCTGAGATAGCGAAAGCTGGTGACCAATGAGAGAATGTGGTAGGGTGAAGGGTGTGTGAGGGAGCGTAAGTCTTTGATGGCTCCCCATATCCTGTGTCTAGTCTCTTGTGAAGCCACCCTAGTTGCTGTCTTCCAGTTCCCTAAAATAAGCAGGTATTCTTCCAATAATTTCCCTTCTTTCCTTAAGCTAGTTGAAGTAGATGTCTTCAAGTTACTTCCAACCAAAGGGTTTTATTACAACAGCCCCCTCTCTGTGGGTGCTCAGTAAATGTTCTGTAATTAAAGGGAGGCCTGAGGAAAACAAGCAGCAGACTCACCGTCATCAGGTTTCTTCACAAATTTTACTCCCAGTTCTTCAAATCTTTTACAAGCACCATGTACATCAGGAACAGCAATTCCAATGTGACCTTAGGTGACCACCCGCAAAACAAGGCAGAAAGGAGGAAGAAATCATTACAAAAGGGTAGGCAAGTACCACGAATGGCTTCCAAAACTAGTATATTTCAAGACAGAAGGTATCCAAAACCAGACTGAATCAAGTGAGTTCAAAAACTATAATATACAGGGTGGAGCAAAGGTAGGTTTACAGTTGTTTCTATGGAAAATAATACAATAATTAATAAAAAATATGAGAAAAAAACTGTTTTGAGTACTCATAACTATAAACCTACTCTTGCCCTACCCTGTAATAAAGAACAAGAATCTAAGTCTAACTGGCTGGGTATAATAAACTATTCCATTGCTCTGAACTATAAATTATTTAAAATAAGCCCAATGCTGGCTCATACATAGTTCAATCTATTAAGAATAAACTACACCAAAAGAGAGTAATCATTTACTCATAACTTAAAAGGTTGACATTGACCATAGAGCAGCCAATTTAAGTCTGTTATCTTGACTAAGAGATTTTAGTTCAAGGCAGAAGTATATGCTAGCAAAAATCAAAATTATTGTTAACAAGTTTTGGTTTTTAAATTAAAAAGTATACTGGAAATATAACAGACAAGTAAAATCACTGTGAGACAGTAGACACAAAGTTTAGGTTGAGACTATGAGATTAAAGGACTCCTCAATAAAAACTTATTTGTGCAAATAAAAATAACTGTAAATTAATTACACTTAATGTTTTAGATTTGTTACAATCATAAATAGGTACACAATGCAAAAAGCACACAAATCCATATATATTACATACAAATATGGAAACATACCAAATCCTCGCGGGTCTGAATTGCCACTGTGGTAACTCTGGGTCTCATCATCTTCAGTGCCCCAATTGCTAAAAAGGGAGGAAAAACATAATTACAAGTGACCTATAAAACAGATATTCTGAAAAGAAAGTTCATATATATATATATATACATGTATATATATATATATATACATATATATATATATATATATTTGCAGTCTGTCAGGAGAAAGTCCAGTCATTGTTAATGTAATGAGAATGGTTTGCATGACATCTATGTAACCTGGCAGCCAAGGAGAGTGGACTGGAATGAGCATGTGTGAACAATGACAACTTCGCTGTACTAGTCAGTGGGGGTGGTAGACACTGTTGAATGAGCATGTGTACTGTGTGCCCGTCATTCAAAATGACTGAGCAAGTAGGGCAACAAATCTGCATCAAATTTTGCATTAAGCTTGAACACTGCTCTGTGGAAACTATGGATGATTCAGAAGGCCGCAGCTATGGACAACTGGTGATTGGCAGCTTCATCACGACAATGTGTCTGCTCATGCATCACACCTTGTGCAGTTTTTTGGCAAAACATCAAATCACCCAGGTGACTCAGCCCCCCTACAGCCCATATTTGGTGCCCTGAGAATTCTGACTTTTCCCCAAACTCAAATCATCTTTGAATGGCAAGGGATTTCAGACTGTCAATGAGATTTAGGAAAATACGACAGGGCAGGTGGTAGCAATGGGAGAACTGTGTGAGGTCCCAAGGTGCCTACTTGGAAGGGGACTGAGGTGTCATTGTCCTATGTACAATGTTTCTTCTATCTTGTATCTTCTTCAGTAAATACCTCCATTTTTCATAGTACATGGCTGGATACTTTATAGACTGACCTCATATTTATACTATATATGTATATGGACACATATATGTATACACACACACGTGTATATATACATGTGTGTATGTGTGTGCATATATACTACTTAATATACTTGGTCTAATCTCTGCTATTATAAATATTAAGTTTTCAACTACAAAAAGGGCAAACAGGTAAAACGGGCAAAGTATGATTTTAGCTAGATTAGGGAGGCTAAACCAGACATCTGGATAACAATAAAAGCAACTATCATTTATTATGCTGAGTACTTTTTATTTCATTAAACCCTCACAACAGCTCCATGGGCTATATTTGAGCATCTCCATTTTATAAATTAGACTGTCACTTATGGAGGTGCTATAACTTGTTCAGAGTCGCAGAGCTATTATTGTCAAATCAAGACTCATGTCTAGGTCTGTCTGATTTCAGAGGTGTTTTGAACCTGATAACACACGAAATCACACACCCTGAAACAAATGCTATTTATTGGTTGTTAAAGAGTGCACAAAACCAACATAAAGAATAAAAATAAAGGGAATACCTATTTCAACACTTTATAAAGACCTTAGGTATAGTACCTAAACATCTGTTAGCTGTAGTCTGATAAATATCTTGCCATTTTAGTCTTTGATTATCTAATAAGCAAATGATCTCACTTGTCCTACTTATGCCACAAGAACAAGACAAAGACCAAAAGCTCCATGAAAAACACTCTTAACATACTGTTACAAATGCAAAGTGATTAGGTAGACTAGGTTTGAATTAAGCTGGTAAGGAAAAAAAAAAATATGAAAAAACCCCAAGCTTTTAAAAAAACGTAGAATATATAAGAAGATAAAAACTCATACTCACTGTGTCAGTTCAAGTGTAGCTTTTCGGGAGAATACCCATGCTACTTTTTCATCTTTATCTTTTGGGATGTCATTTTTATCCTCATAAGCCAAGAAATAGAGTGAAAACTTCATAGTGGGAAAATCTATTTTCTGGAGTAGCCTGAAATTAAACAACAGCAAGCCTGAACCAATTAACAACAAGAAAGGTTGACTGATACTAAAATTAGCATAACAATATTCAAGTTCTACTAAGAATAGGACCTGTGTGTAGTGGGGCCATTTTAATAGGTAAAGCAGGGGAAACCAATGAAAAATATCTCATTACAAAAAAAACCAAACAAAAACCACCTATTCACCTGTAATATCAGTGAAATGAAAAAAATTTTTAAAAACCAAACTTCTCCAAATACCATCAATTCTCCAAATATCATCAATTCTTCAAATATGATGAAACTTTGCTGGAATTATGGTACTTGTTTATAAATGGCAAAAAGACTTCTTCAAAAGAAAATGTTATTTTTAGTGAAAAATATCATGTATTACTTTATTGTCCTTTCAGATATACAACATTCAGTTAAATAAGTAAATGCATTGCAAGTATATGATTGTCTAACTACTAACCTGGATGTCTGAAACTGATACAAAATAATATGAATGTAAACAGTAATTGAAAACAAAAATTTAAATTAAAAAAGAGTCAATAAATAAATAAATAAATAAATTGAGTTCTTACTAAGCTAAAATTCCTAGGAAAAAAATTGAGGATATATGGTAAGAAAGAAGAAAGGACAGATTATTATCACAGAATATGTGAATGTCAACAATGAAGTGGTTACCAGTATCAAATACTGCAGAAAGGTCAAACAAGACTGAGACTGAGAACAGGTCACTAGATATGGAAAAGTCCCGTGAGGGCAGTTTCCGCAGCATGGGGCAGCAGAACCTGGACTATCCTGGCCTGGCAGAGAATGGGAGGTGAGCAAGCCAAATAGCGAGCGTGGTCTGCCTTCACAGATGGTGGGGGATGATGGGAAGGAGGGCAAGAGAGCAGAGGGCAAGAATTATGCTAGAATAGAGAAGACTTAGGCATTTTAGTAGGTTGAGGGGAAAGAGCCAGTGGAAAGTGGAGACTGATAACGAGAGAAGTGCTGCATAAATTACTAATCCTGAGCTTTTAAAAAAAATTATTGAAATTATGGCTTATAAAGTAAGCTTAGAGTTTAAGATTATTTTGCAAGGAGTAGTTTAGAATGAGGATACATAGATTACAGTTTTCTTTAGATTATGGAGGATTAAATGTTCCAGGATGATCTCATTCATTCATAATCATAGCAAATGAAAAGTTTCTAGAATTCTGTTCCAGATCTTTTACTTATCACTGCTATGGAATATGCCTTGGCCCAGTAAGATCTATGCACTGACTTATCACAAATAAGATTTATTCTATCTAATCTGTTTATGACAAAGTATCAAACACCTCAAATACGCCCATCATGAAAAACTATCTCTGCACCTAAAGCAGACTGCAGGAGCTTTATAGCCCAATCAGATGGGAAATGTAGCACATGGCCCTGCTGAAACTTGTTTTTCTCAGCTGAGCATATCTTTCAGTAAAATGTCAAGCCTCCTGCTTGGGGGCTCTTCAAAAACAAGGTCAACATTGGAGTCAGTCAGAATTGGCTTCAAATTTGGGGTCAGTAACTTAAAGACTTTAAGCTTTGGTTTCTTCCTTACAGGCCTACTCTGAAGATGGGATGAAATAACATGTAAAACGCCTGCAAATGGCAAGTGTGCAATTAGTTTGTTTTCATTGTTCTTTAAATATGCCATAAATATATGAAAAATACTTTTTCTGAAAAAAATTACAAGAAATTGTTTACAGCAAATATCTTTGGGGAGAGGAACGAAGAAAGGAAGGTCATTACTTTTCATTTTGTATTTTTCTGAATTGGTTGGATTTTCTAAATACAGACATCTACTGTATTAACCTGAATTTTTCTGTCAATGTCAATTATCTAGGCAGTCATTAGAAATCATTTTGTACTCTATATTATCGAAAAGAAACGAAAACCTCAAATCATGAAAAATAAACAAATATACATTAAGAATTGCAAAATCTATGGATATTACTTGTTCAGCAAACAAACAAACAAAAAACCCAAATACTATAAAAATGGGACAGATGGCCAGTTTTAGGTAAAGTCATTCATTTTCTAAGTAATACATCTTTATATCTGTATCTTTTCTGCAGTAAACAAGAGGCTAAAAGTGGCTATAACATCAAAAGGGTCTTAATACACTAACAGTTAATTTTTTTAAGACTTTACTTATTTCTTTTTAGAGACAGGAGAAGGGAAGGAGAAAGAGAGGGAGAGAAACAGCAATGTGTGAGAAGTACATTGATTGGTTGCTTCTCCCATGCCCTGCAACCCAAGCATGTACCCTGACTAGGAATCGAACCAGCGACCTTTCAGTTCACAAGCTGGAGCCCAATCCATGGAGCCATACTAGCCAGGGCTGGACACGCTAAGGGTTTAACTGGCAGCTCTCAGAGAGAAGGGAGTTAGAGAAAACAGAGGTATTGGTATCACTGTCCAGTGAGCCTGGCTGGGGTAGAAGGGAGGAGCTTGACAGAAGCCCTGGTCAGCAAGCCTCGTCCCAGACTCGTGATTTATGAAGCAAACTCTAACTCATTTTTAAAAATAGATCTGAAAACATTCACTACATTTGCAAAGCTATATATTTAAACATTATAGGAGCCATTAAAGAGTTTACTTACGTCATTCCAAGAACTCTAGTATAAAAGTCCAAAGACTTCTTAGGATCCTTAATTCGCAGCATGGTCTGCTGCAACAGAAAATCCTAAGGAGAAAAAGTATGTATTAAACACCTTTAAGCTCTATACTTATCTGCCTTAAAAATGTACAGAACTTAATCTTACTTTGATGATTCTAGGACATTTCTATAAACATCAATTATTGTCTTACAATGTAATAAAGGAGCTACTACTGGCAGAATTAGTACTGCCTGTCCCTATATTGAGAAGGTTCCCAACTCCTGTTTTTATTTTACTTTTCCATTGAGTTTTTAAACCCCTCCCTCACCACTAAGCTATTAGTTGTCAATTCTATCAACAAAGCTCTTTTCTGGGCACAGAGTCTCCAACTAATTTCCCTAAATTCTTTGACTCTGCACCTGTCACCGTCCCCGACACTGCCCTGATTCCAGCTGCTGTACCGCCCCCCCAGGCTAACTGGTACTCCTCCCGTCACCTGTCCCCTACAACCTGTTCTCAAAGGGGTCCTTTCTCTCACATCCCAGCCATAGGCCTTTGAACTGCTAGTTCCTCTCCTGAAATGCTCTTTCCCCAGAGCCACTTTTAATCTTTTTAACACTCTGCTCAAATGTCATCCTCTCAAGGAAGCCTTACCCAACCCCTTTAGTCAAAACTGTAACTTGCTACTATAAACCCCCTTACCCTATTCCATTTTTTTCACTTTTTTTCCTATTTATTTTTTGTTGTTTTTCTTTCCTCATTAGAACATAAGTGCCACAAGGATGGGGATTTTTGTTTGTTGACTGATGTATCAGACAGAACCTGGCACAAAGTACCCATAAATATTTATTGAATGAGTAAATAAACTTTCACTAGACTTTTCTTTCCAATTAAGCTGCATCCGACATTACTGTTCTCTTCTTCAGTTTAAAAAAAAAAAAAAGTCTAAAATCCAAAAGAACAGATTCTAAAGGATACAAGTTTACCATTCCATCATTAACACATTGGTCATATTCATATTTTCTCTCTTCAACATCTTTGCAGTACCAACGTTAGTATTGCTACACTGCGGAGAGCTTTATTATTAATTCTATTTAGTCCATAGAGGCTGCACTCAAATCTATGCATCTTACACACAGATTTTTTTCCTGTAGATGCTGTGCCAAGTACTATAAAATAAGTTCAATAACCCTGCCTATCCTATCCCTATCCTGATAGCTTTCTGGAGAACACTTTGGGTCTTAAGAGTCTTTAAAAGTTCATATTCTTGACCAAGATGTCTCACTCCTAAAAATATGTAAGGAAATAATTAGAAAACTCCAACAAAGATTTATGTACAAAGACATTCATTACAATGCTTACACAGTCAGACACTGTTCTAAGTGATTTACAGAAATTAATTCATATAATCTTCATAACAACCCAATGAGGTATGTACTACTACCATTTCCACTTTACTGCAGAGAATAAGTGGCAGAGAAAAGATTCCAGCCCAAGCAGTTTGACTACAAAGTCTTTGCTTCCAACTATCTTGACTAAACTGTCTCTAACAACAAAGGAATAGTTAGATAAATTATGATATAGGTATAATTCTGTAACTTTTGGCACTCCTGGTAAACACTTGAATGATCTTGAGAAAAAGTTCTATTTTTAAAAAGTTCCTTAAAATGATTGTTTATAGCTATGGTTATAAAATATTGTTTAAAATAAGTATATCTTGTGTTTAAAAAAAGTGTTGTTTTATCTCATCAGACAATTCTTTTTTGTTTTACTTTTAATTTTAATTTTTTCAATTACAGTTGACATTCAATATTATATTAATTTCAGGTATATAGCATAGTGGTTAGATATTTATATAACTTATGAAGTGATCCTCCTGATAAGTTCTGTACCCACCTGGCACCATACATAGTTATTACAACATTATCAACTATATTCCCTATGCTTCATCAGATAATTAACTTTGTCTTTCCCTTATCATGTTCTAAATTGGGAACAACAAAAGAAGATGTCTTTTATGCCTAAGCTATCTTTAGGTTTTCTGGGATGACTGCTAGACAACAAAGATTTGTACCTTTGCCTTCGAAAAGGGAAGAATAATAAAAATAATCCAGTTTTGGGGGGGCATTCTCCAAATTTAATTAAGTCAAAACTAGTGTGTAAAAACTTTAAAGGTACAATCAAGAATATTTCTAAAATAAGTGGAAGTATATACTGTGTTCATGGATAGGAAGCAGTAACATCATTAAAATGTCCATGCAACCTAAAACAATCTGTAGATTCAAGGCAATTCCTGTCATGATTCCAATGTCGTATTTCACAGAACTAGAACAAATACTTCAAAAATTTAAACGGAACCACAAAAGGCCCCAGAGTAATCCTGAGAAAGACAAATAATGTTGGAGGAATCACACTACCTAATATCAAAGTATACTATAAGGCCACGGTAATCAAAACAGCATGCTACTGACATAAAAACAGACACATAGGTCAATGGAACAGAATAGAGAGCCCAGAAATAAAACCACACCTTTACAGTAATTAATATCTGGCAGAGGAAGCAAGCACATACAATGGGCTAAAGATATTTTATTCAATAAATGGTATTGGGAAAGGTGGACAGATATGTGCAGAAAAATGAAACTAGACCACCTTCTTACACCACATATAAGAAGAAATTAAAAAATGGATTAAAGACTTAAGTATTAAACCTAAAACCATTAAAAACCCCGAAGAAAACATAGGCAGTAAAATCTCAGACATCGCTCATAGCGATATTCTATCTGATATATCTATCTCCCCAAGTAAGGGGGAAAAAAAGAAACAGAAACGAATGGGACTACATCAAACTAAAAAGTTTTTGCATAGCTAATGAGACCATCAACAAAATAAAAAGACAACTCACAGAATGGGAGAACATATTCTCCAACACATCTGATAAGGGGTTAATATCCACAATCTATAAAGAACTTACAAAACTCAACACCAAAAAACAATTAAAAAATGGGCAAGGACCTGAATAGACATTTCTCCAGAGAGGACATATAGATGGCCAATAGACATATGAAAAGATGCTCAACATCACTAATCATCAGAGAAATACAAGTTAAAAACACAATGAGATATCACCTCACACCTGTCAGAATGGCTATCAACAAACAACAAATGCCCGCGAGGATGTGGAGAAAAGGGAACCCCTTTTGCACAGTTGGTGAGAATTCAGACTGGTGCAGCCACTGTGGAAAGCAGTATAGAGATACCTCAAAAAATTAAAAATGTATCTGCCTTTTGACCCAGAAATTCCATTCCTGGGAATAGAGCAGAAGAAACCCAAACACTAATTCGAAAGAAGATAAGTACCCCTATGTTCATTACAGCATTATTTATAATTGCCAAGATATGGAAGCAGCCCAAGTATCCATCAGCAGATGAGTGGATAAAACAACTATGGGACATTTATACAATGGAATACTACTTTGCCGTAAAAGAGAAAATTTTTACCCTTTGCAACAGTATAGATGGACCTGGAGAACATTATACTAAGTGAAATAAGCTTGACAGAGAAAGACAAATACTATATTATTTCACGTATATGTGGAACCTAATGAACAAACTGTACTAACAAGCAAAATAGAGAAAGACTCATGAATAGAGAGCAGGATGACAGCTACGGATAGAAAAGAGCTTAGGAGGTGGAGGGATGGAGCAAAAAGGAAAAAGGTCTCACGAATATGAACAACATTGTGGTGATTGCAGGGGGGTGGGGACTATAAGGGGGTTAAATGGTAATAGGAAAAATTCAATGTTTGTTTTTGTTCTTTTTTTTATTTCTGGTGCATGTCTTATATGCCTACAATACAATCCTGACAAAATTATAAAGGCAGGGCAGGGACATGAATCAAAGGGTCAAGGTCCCTTTGAGCACCTCTAAATGGACTTTTTCTTTTTCTTTTTTAAAGCTTCATTTTTATCTATGTATGGCCAAATGCTCTAGCACCATTTGTTGAAGATAGTGATTACTATAGTTATACAGTGTGTCTTAAAACACCAGGTAAGCTAACTCCACTTTACTCTTTTCAAAATTACTCGTTTCTTTACCATCCATATCAATTTTAGAATAAGACTGCCTATGTATAAAAAAAAGGTTTGGTAGGGATTCTGTTAAACATATGTCTCATTTTGTGGAGAATAGACATCTTTACTATGCTGTGTCATCGAATCATGAACACAGTATGTCTCTCCATTTATTTAGACCTTTTATGATTTCTTTTATCAGCACTGGGTAATTTTCAGCATATAAGCCCTAGACATGTTTGTTAGACTTATACCTAATTATTTAATTTTGTTTAGCAACTGTAAATTGTATTGTATTTTTAATCTTGGTGCTTAAATCCTTTGCTAATACATAGAAATTCATTTTTTTAATGTTTATTTTGTATCCTCTGACCCTGCTGAACTCATTTATTAGTTCCAGAAGAGTTTTTTGTAGATTCCTTAGGATTTCTTATATAGACAATTGTCATCTGCAACTAGGGACAGTTTTATTTCTCCCTTCCAATCTGCATGACTGTTATTTCCTTTTCCTGCCTTACTATGGTAGGTAGGACCTCCAGCACTATGTTGAATAAGTGAGGTGAGAGCAGACATCCCGGCTTTGTTCCCCCAAATTAAGAATTAGCTGTAAGATTTTTATAGATGTTCTTTATCAAGTTGAAGTTTCCCTCCATTCCTATTTTTTTTAAATCATGAATGGTATTGAATTTTATCAAATGCTTTTTCTACATCAATTGATACATCGTTTTTTCCTCTTTAGCCTCCTAATGTGAATTATTTTAATTGATTTTTGAATATATAATTAGGCTCACATAACTGGAATAATCTTAATCTTCATTTAGTCATGGTGTATAGTCTTTTTTATATATTGCTGAATTCTATGTGCTAATATTTTGTCAAAGATTTTTCTGTCTATATTTGTCAGGGATATTGGCTGTAGTTTTCTCTTTTTGTACTGCCTTCATGTAGTTTTAGTATCTTGGTAATACCAGCTTTGTAAAATGAATTATTTAGTGTTCCCTTCTCTTCTGTT